TGAAACATCAGAGGCGGATTAGTCCTTCACGGAAATTCTCAAATCATTTTATCGGATTCCTGGAACAAGAGGAAAATGCCAATCGATAGATCACCAGTTAGACCCTGTTCGGATACACAGATTGATATGGATTTGGCGAGCGGATCAAATCAGGTTGGATCAGAAAATATTAATATTTTACCTTCTCAAACTGGACATCAGGTGAGTGATCCTATGTTACAAATTCACTCAAATGAGTTTCGTTTATTAAAACTACCGACTTTCTGGCATAAACAACCTAAACTCTGGTTTGCTTCTATTGAAAGTGAGTTTACGGTTTATCGAATTCGATCAGATGATATTAAATATAGTTCTGTCATTCGTCATCTTGATGAACAAGCCTTAGTAAACATATCTGAAGTCATTGAAAATCCACCTGAAACAGATAAATATAATTATTTAAAGAAAATATTAATAAATCGCTTTACGGATTCAGAGGAAAAACGTTTGAGACAAATATTAGCTGGAATTGAACTTAATGATAAAAAGCCTTCGGAATTACTTCGAGAAATTCGTCATTTGTCTGGAGGATCTTTAGCAGATAGTGTTTTGCAAATGATTTGGCTTCAACGCTTACCACATAGAATTCAAACGACTTTAGCCGTAGTAGAGGATGTTCCTCTTGTTAAACTTGCGGAATTAGCCGATAAAATTGCTGATCGGGACGGCGGTTTGCAAGTCGCGGAAGTTTCCAATAATACAAGTAATAAATCTTCGGATTTCGCGGATTTGCTACGAAGAATCGAAGCTCTTGAAGTTTCTCGTCGTCGAGATCGTTCCAAAAGCCGGTCTAGAGAGAATAGAAGATTTAGATCGTTATCGCGTAACAAAGACAAATCAAATAAAGATATTAAAGATACATCAATTTGTTTTTACCATAAGAAGTTTGGTGATAAGGCTAAACGATGTACTTTACCTTGTTCTATGTCCAAAACATTCTTGGCTTCACAGGAAAACTAAAAACGCCGCTTAAGACTGAGGCTGCTTACGACGGTGTTTCTAACAATCGCCTCATTATTTTCGACAGACATTCAAATTTGAATTTTCTTGTCGATACGGGCGCTGATATATCGTTGTTACCTAAAAAGGTTTTATTGAAGCCGTGGCATACTAATTTAAAACTTTTTGCCGCAAATGGTACTCAAATTAATACTTACGGTTCTAAAACTTTAATTTTGAACCTCGGTTTAAGGAGAGAATTCAAATGGAAATTTTGTGTCGCGGATATTCAACGTCCTATTTTAGGCGCCGATTTCCTTTGTCATTTTAATCTCCTAATTGACATTAAAAACAAGAAATTGATTGATAATGTTACCGGTCTTATGAATACTGGAAAAATTCAAGAAGTTGCACATTTGTCAATTTTTACCACATCTCCTGATTCTGTGTACCACAAATTTTTAACCGAATTTCCAGGACTCACCCGTTTTTCTCCAATTTCCTCGGTAAAAACACATGGTGTTGAACATCATATCGTTACGGAAGGTTCTCCTAAATTTTCGACTCCCAGAAGACTTACTCCTGAGAAACTTAAATGTGCCAAGGAAGAATTCAAGTCTATGATGGAGCAAGGAATTTGCAGGCCTTCAAGCAGCTCCTGGGCAGCCCCTCTACATATGGTACCTAAAAAGGAACAAAATTCTTGGAGACTGTGTGGTGATTATCGTGCACTCAATTCAGTGACTATCCCGGATCGTTATCCCTTACCTCATATTCAAGATTTTTCTTCTTCACTTTTTGGTAAGAATATCTTTTCTAAAATCGACTTAGTTAAAGCGTACTATCAAGTACCCGTCGCTAAAGAAGATATTCACAAAACAGCTGTCACTACTCCATTTGGGCTTTTTGAATTTGTCGTAATGCCTTTCGGTTTACGAAACGCAGCCCAAACTTTTCAACGGCTCATGAACTCTTTACTTAATGATTTGAGTTTTGCCTTTTGTTATCTTGATGACATTCTTATTGCTTCTAAAGATGAGAAAGAACATATTGCTCACTTACGCATTATTTTTGATCGTCTTCAACAAGCTGGAATGACAATCAATGTCGCTAAATGTCTTTTCGGTCAAAGCGAGATTTCTTTTCTTGGTTACTTAGTTTCTAACCAAGGAGTTAAACCTACATCCGAAAAAGTGAAATCAATTATTGATTATCCTAAACCTAAGACACTTCATGAATTACGCAGATTCTTAGGAATTATCAATTATTATCGTCGCTGTCTCAAGGATGCTGCAAATCATCAAGCTCTGTTAACAGAATATTTAAAGGACAGTCGCAAGAGGGATAGAAGAATTATTTCTTGGACTAAAGAAGCGGAATTAGCTTTCGAGTCATGTAAAGAAGAACTTTTACAAGTTACTACCCTTTCTCATCCTGCTCCTCATGCTCCTCTTATTTTAACTTGTGATGCTTCTGACTTTGCTGTTGGTGCATCACTTGAACAGTCTATTGACGACGATATCAAACCAATAGCATTTTTCTCAAAGAAACTAGACAAAGCTCAAAGAAATTATAGCACTTATGATAGAGAACTTCTTAGCATTTATTTGGCTATTAAACATTTCAGGCATTTTGTTGAAGGAAGACAATTGATTATCAGAACTGATCATAAACCTTTGATTTTTGCTTTCCGTCAGAAATTGGATAAAGCGTCACCAAGACAGATCAGACAATTGGACTTTATTGCTCAATTCTCTACAAATATTACCTATATTTCTGGAAAAATGAATTCAGTTGCTGATGCTCTGTCAAGAATTGAATCTATTTCAATGCCTATTATAGTTTCTTTAGAAGAACTTGCTAATTATCAGAAAGAAGATGAAGAACTTCAAGTTTTACTTTCTTCAAATTCTTCACTTCTGTTGAAGAAACTTATTCTTTCAGGATCAACCATACCTATTTATTGTGATTGCTCTTCGGAATTAATTCGTCCATATGTTCCTAAACTCTTACGCAAGAGAATTTTTGATGTTGTTCATGGACTCGCTCACCCCAGCGGCAGATTGACATCTAAACAATTACTACTGAAATTCATTTGGCCTTCTTTGAAGAAAGATGTGAAGGAATGGACTCGAACTTGTCTTCCATGTCAACGTGCGAAGATTTCAAGACACACCAAGAATTCTCCAATTAAGATTGCAATTCCTGATCAACGCTTTCAGCATGTGCATTTAGACATTGTTGGACCACTTCCTATTTGTCAAAATTACCGTTATTGTCTTACTATGATTGATCGTTTTTCCAGATGGCCTGAAGCTGTTCCTATTTCTGAGATTTCTGCTGAAACTATTTCTACAACATTTTATTCACATTGGGTAGCACGTTTTGGTTCTCCTATCAGCATTACAACAGATCAAGGTCCTCAGTTTGAAGCAGCTTTATTCAAAGCTTTAACAAACCTAATTGGATGCCAAAGGATTAGAACTTCTGCTTATCATCCTGCTTCAAATGGAATTCTGGAAAGATGGCATAGGACTTTGAAAGCAGCGATTATGTGCCACGAAACAACCAACTGGGTAGAATCTTTACCTTCAGTTCTTTTGGGATTACGTTCGTGTTTCAAAGAAGATTTAAAAGCTTCACCTGCAGAACTTCTTTATGGATCCACTCTTCGTATTCCTGGAGAATTTTTCATTGAAGAAGATTTTCCTGCAGATCCTGAAATCTTTCTTGAAAAACACAGGATTCATATGAGGAATATCAGATCATCTCCTACAAGTCATCATTGCAAAAGATCACCTTTTGTTCACAAGAATCTTTTTGATTGTACTCATGTTTGGATTCGAGAAGATACTGTTAGGAAGTCACTACAACCTCCTTATTCTGGCCCTTTTCCTATTGAGAAACGTATCTCTGATCATTTATTTGCAGTTAATGTTTCAGGAAGAGTTGTCAATATTTCGACAGAACGTCTCAAGCCAGCCTTCATTCCTAGAACTTCAGATTCTACTGAACTTTCTACCAGATCTTCAGCTCCTGTTCCTGCTATTTCAACTCCTGTTCCTGCTATTTCAACTCCTGTTCCTGCTACTTCAGCTCCTGTTCCTGCTACTTCAGCTCCTGTTCCTGCTACTTCAGCTCCTGTTTCTGCTACTTCAAATCCTTCTTCTTCTTCTACTGTTGGAAAAGCTTTACGCACCTACCCACCAAAGAAGAAGAAAGTCCATTTCGCAACGAATATCGTCACTTGGGGGGGAGTACTGTAGCATTCATCATCCACACCTTTCATTTACACTCTACACTTTTATTACACCTTACACTTTTCACTGCACTTTTACACTTTTTACATCTTTATACATTTGTAATAACTTCAATTCATTAATATACATAATGTTTTTAAGAAAAATCAATATTTCCATAACAACACATTCATTCATTTATTTGTTACATATTAATTCTTTTTGTTCTTTCGCTTTATACTTTCAATGAATAAACATTACTTTTTCAAAGATCTGGTGAATTTATTTATAAGTCGCTACAACTTCCCCCCCGTTCTGTGATTGGCAGGGAGGTTTTTGTCCCCGCACACCGCGCAGTGCACCGGGGCTTCGCATTTGCTGGCTCTGTGCCCTTCCTCCCCGCAGCGGTAGCATCTACCGCTGCGGTCCGCCTTGTTTGGGCACCTGGCCCTTACGTGGCCTCCCTCCAGGCATTTATAGCACTGGAGGGGGCGATTGCTTAATAACTCTGTAGCATTCATCATCCACACCTTTCATTTACACTCTACACTTTTATTACACCTTACACTTTTCACTGCACTTTTACACTTTTTACATCTTTATACATTTGTAATAACTTCAATTCATTAATATACATAATGTTTTTAAGAAAAATCAATATTTCCATAACAACACATTCATTCATTTATTTGTTACATATTAATTCTTTTTGTTCTTTCGCTTTATACTTTCAATGAATAAACATTACTTTTTCAAAGATCTGGTGAATTTATTTATAAGTCGCTACAACTCCACTCTGACCATTGCCCACCCTATCTGAATATGGGACTTTTGGGTAATGGTGTTTGCTGTTCTAAGGGGGCAACGGGCCCACACCATCTTTATGCCGTTGGGCGCTCTTTTAACTTCCCCCACGTTGATCTCTTCCTCCTCGCAGTTTCCACTTTTGGAGATTGCTTCCCGGATCTCTGAGAGGGTGACGGCTTCATCGAGCCCTCTTAGCCTGAGTTCTGCCGTTTTTGTTGGCCGCTGTACCCTCACCCCCTCTTTCCCGGAGAGGGCACGTTTGAGCCCGAGGGCTAATTTGTCCGCGAGCTCGTTACCACCCTCTCCGGGAATCTCATACACTAGAGCACCAGTCACCGCTCTCCTGATTTTAACTCCTCCTTTGATGCCGAGGCTCTCAAGGCTCTCCATTTTCTTATGAGCCTCAGCCATCGTCGCCTCATATTCGCCAGGGGGGCATGTTATGGTGACTGCGGCCGTCCTGGGTTCTTTCCTCTTCTTCTGGGGTCCCGTCCGTTGCCCCTTTGTTTGGGGTGTAGTAGGTGGGGCTTTTCGCTGCTGCTGCTGCAATTGCTGCTGCGTCGTCTCCTTTCTTTCTTTCTTCCTTTCCCTCTTCGCCGTTTTCCTCGACACAACCGTGGTCCACGCTGTTTGCGGTTGTGGTTGTGCCGATCTTGGAGCGGTCTTTTGAGGATTGGGATTGGGATTAGGGTTTTTGTTTCCCATTTCCTTCCTTCCCCCTGCTGTTCTCTTTTGCAGGGGGATCTTGATCGAGACTTTTTCAATCGCCTTGATCCTTGGCAATCCTTGTCTCGCTGGCGGGTTCAGGGTTGTTGCCGATGGACCATTCACCCTCGTTGCCGACCTCGTTTGCATCTTTGGTGGGGCAGGTGGGTTCACCTTGCTGCCCCTTCCATTCCTCTCCACTTTCGCCTTTTCGGCCTTCTTCCTCTGTGAAAGGTGGGGACCGGGTTTCCCATTCTCCGATCCATGATTCTTTCACAGATGCCCTCCATCATCGCTATGAGGGACTCCTGTCTGTGCCTCTCCTCGTGTCCCTCCTTGTCATCTTGGTCCGTGATATCCACTATCTTTCCTTTTCGTTGAGGGGGGCATCCGGGCTTGGTTTGTTCCCCGTCTTCTTCTTTCCTTTTCCGAGCGGGGGGAACTCCTCCTTTCCGAAGATTTCGGACCTCCACTCCATTACCTCCTCCTTGTGGACTCCTGGGGAGGCCCCATCTTCGGGTGGATGCGCCTCACCCTGAGTCCTTCTTTCCCTATTACTTGGGGACTCCCTATCTTGGGGTGGAAGTGGATTTCCCAGCGCTTCGGTGCTCGGGAATCCCCCATCCCCTGGTAGAGGTGATGTCTCCTTTATCCACCTCTCTGTTCCTCCTTCCTTTCTCCCTAACGAGGGAAGTCTCCCTTGGCTTCTCTGCCAGTTTTCTGGCTTCCTCGCGGTTCCTATTGGTCCGTTTGAGTTTCTCGACGGTCTTTCGGAGTTCCGCGTTCTCCATCCTAAGAAGATGCATCTCGTGTCGCATTCTCCTTATTTCCTCTTCTATCCCTGTTTCTTGGGGATTCTGCGCTTTCACTGCGAGCACAGTCGCGGCGGCGCACATGTCTGCAGCAGCCTCCTTCGCAGCCTTTGTGAATCCGCCCTTCAGGTTGCCCGAGTTCACCGCGACCTTGTATATATCGGTGCATCTTTCCGACACCAACGCCTCAAGGTCTGCAATTGGGGCCTGCCGGAGCTCCTCTTCCTTGTCCTGAATACTGCCAAGGAATTCTTTATAGGACTTGGTTAAACCCGGCTTTATCGATGAAACGAGGATCTCCCTCTCTTTTTGCAGGGCCTTTTCCTTCTCTTTTTGGGCCTGCTCCTCTTGTTTCTTTCTGTATGCCCCGGTTGTTTCGGGGCGACTTCTCCCTCTCTTTTCTCTAATGATGGGGATTTCATCTTCATCCTCCTGGCTTCCGCTTTCGTATTGAGGTTCCTCCGTTGATTGCAGAAGTTCTGCAGCCTGTAGTATACCTCCTTGCTTCTCTATCTCCGCGTCGATCTTTCTATTAATCGCGCGGACAAAGGGCACTTCCGCCCTCTCTGTGCTTACGCTGCCTTGATCCCATTCTAGGTCGAGGCTGCTGCACTCCGAGGGCATTTCCTTTCCCGTTTTCCTTATTCTAGAGGGGCTTCTTGATCTGCCCGCCGTCGTTCCTGAGGCTGGTGACACGCCTGTTCTTCCTCTTGTCCTCGCCCCTATGCAAAATTCCTCAGATGAGGTCAGGCTCAGCTGCGAGTCGCATCTCGTGACCCTTATAGAGAGCTCTCTTTTTGATGCAGCAGCAGCGATTGCAGCATTAGAGATCGCTCTCGCCATCGCGCAGGGGTCCTGGTCTACTGTGACTTCCTCCAGGGTAGCCACAATCCCGGCCCGCGTAATCCGCCCCTTTATGTGAGAGTTTGTATTCTCACCTTCATTTTGATTTTTGTTTGATGTGTTATATTCTTCCATTTCTGTGAATCCCACGTTCCCGCTGCGGCTCCGTCCCCCAGGGTATACCCCCACCGGCCAAGAGGTGCCGCGAAACATGACCGGCCACACCCCAAGGCCGGGCCCCAAGTTCCCCCGGGGAGGGGACATATGTCTTAGGCCGGGGGGATACCGCACCCCGGCCAGACTCCGAGCCCCTTACACACCCGTGTGGGATTTGACGCCCACACGGGCTTTCAGGGGTCCCGCGCCTCCAACAACGCGGGTACCGCAGCGGGCGGCGCCACCCGGGGGGCCCCACGGACGCTTTGGGCAGGGTCGCCGCTCCCCAGCCCAGCCCTACACGCCGTGGCGACCAGCATAGTGTGTCCACCCTCGTCGAAAACTTTCGACGAGGAGTGGGCGCCTCTCCGGTCGGCCGGTTTGGAAGAGGAAACGGTCCCGACCGACCGGAGATATCCACTCTCGCCCCATGCCCCGCCTCGGAAACGTCCGAGCGGCCCTGGGGCAGGGCGGCCGCGGCACCCTCCGGGCTATGCCCCTCGGGTAACCCCTCCGGGCTATGCCCCTTGGGTAACCGCGGCGCGCCTTCGCCGCCATCCTCGGCCCGGATTCGGAAACGTCCGAGCGGCCCGAGAATGGCAGGCCACAGGGACACTGGGACAAGAGCAAGCTCTCCGACCAGCACCCTGTGACCTCCCTCTCGCCGTCGAGCCCCGCCTCGGAATATGTTCGAGCGGCCTCGACGGCCGACCCGCGTGGTCCCCTCCGGGCAGTGCCCCTTGGGAAAACCCTCCGGGCTACGCCCCTTGGGTGACCACGCGTGGCCGTCTCCGCCGACCCAGCCCCGCCTCGGAAACGTCCGAGCGGCCTGAGTGCGGCCTACCCCAGGGACGCTGGGACGGGGACCCAGGCTACCCAGCCTGGAGACCCCCAACCAGCACCCTGAGGCACCTCCCTGTCCTCGGGAACCGCTCCGCGAGCGGGCCCCGAGGACTGACCAGCACAGCCCCCTCCGGGCAAAGCCCCTCGGGACAACCCTCCGGGCAAAGCCCCTCGGGTAACTGTGCCAGCCCCTCCGCCGGCGCGACCCTCTCCGGGCAAAGCCCCTCGGGAAACCCTCCGGGCAAAGCTCTTCGGGTGATCGCGCGCGGCACCTCCGATGCGGCCCCCGCCGATCCCACCCCCCCAGGTGTGACCCCGAAACAGGCCCCCCCTTGACGGAGGGGAGGGAAAAAACCCCGGGCGGCGGAAGCCGCCTACCCGACCGACATGCCGGGCCACAGAGCATAGTGGGAAGGAAAGCGCCGAAGCGCCGTGCAGTCCCTTCACCTAACGGTGCCATGCCACCGGGCGTTTGAATTCCGGGTCGCCATCCCTTACCACATACGAGCCGAAGCTCTAACGGGGAAGTGGGCCCCGTCTCCCCGGGATGTGGAAATCTTCCACACCCCGAGGAGAGCTTCCAGAAACGGAGGGTATGCCCCCGAGACCGGGGGCAGTGTACCTCGGAAGGTACTATCCGCTCTTGGCACCCCTCGCAAGACTATCCTCTTGCGAAGGGTGAGCACTCTCACCACGACAAGGTGGCGGACAACGAGAGGGACTTCCTCCCCTTCCTTCCTCCAACTTCCTCTCATACCCTACCGTCCTCCTTCCTGCCCTTATCCTAAATTTGTCTTTTCCTATCTCCTCTCTTACCATATACCCCGGCGTGCACCAGTCTACTCCTAACGTCCACCTAATCCATCGCTCCTGCATTGCCTCCACCTCTCTCCTCTCCTTCCATCCCCATATTTCCGCCCCATATTCCAACACCGTCCCCACCAACCTTTCCATTAGCCATACTCTTTTCATCCAGTCTCCTGCAAACCTTCTCTTTCCCATTCCCCACACCTGTCTTATCACCGCTCCTGCTTTCCTAACTCTGTTCTTTACCTGCGCCTCCTGCCCCCCGTTCCTCTGTAGCTTATACCCTAAATATGTGAATTCTTTCACTTCCTCTAATCTTTTTCCTTTCCATCTCCACTCCACTCTCTTCATTCTTCCTCCTCCCTTTTTAAACCTCATTACCTTTGTCTTATCCACATTCACCTCTAACCTTTTCTTGTCCATATAACTTTCCATTTTCCCCAACATATGTATCATCCCTTCTTCATCCTCCGCCAACAGTACCATATCATCTGCGTACGCCAAACAATGCACCTTTTCCCCTCCCAGTTTCACCCCCCCCCAACCTCCTTTTCTTAGCACTTCCTCTATATCCGCTATCAGCAAACTGAATAAGTGCGGACTCATTGGGCAACCTTGCCTCACCCCCCTTGCCGTCCAAAAATTTTCTCCCTCCTCCTTCTCCACTCTTACCTTACTCCTCGTTTCCCTGTACACCTCTTCTATCCTACTCCTTAATCCCTCCCTCACTCCCCTCCTCTTCATTGCCTCCATTAACACCTCCCTATCTACCGAATCAAACGCCGCCTTCAGGTCCATAAATGCCGCGACTACCTTTCCCCCCTTCTTGTTTACCCTCTTATTCACCAGATAGTTCAACACATAGATACTATCCATCACCCCCATTCTCTTCCTAAAACCTGTCTGACTCTCCGGTATCATATTCTTCCCCTCCATTTCTTCCTTTAACCTTTCAGTTAAAATCCCCACGTATATCTTGTATAGCGTTGGCATCAATGTTACTCCTCTATAGTTTTCCACTTTATTCCCCGTTCCCTTTTTCAACAGTGGCACTATTATCCCTTCTTTCCACCTCTCCGGCCATCCTTCTCCTCTCCATACTCTGTTGCACATTCCCCATACCCACTCTTCTACCCTCTCCCCTCCATATTTCCATACCTCACTCGGTATCCCATCCTCCCCCGATGCTTTTCCTTTCTTCAGTTTTCCCAGCATCCTCTTCACTTCCTCCCTGCTTATCTCCTGCTCCTCATCTCTCTCTCCCTTTTTTCTTTTCCTCCTCTTACCACTTTTACCTCTATCCCTCCCAATAAGTCCATGAAGTATTCCTTCCATTCCTCCGCCTTTATCTCCTCATTCACCCCTTCTCTCTTTTTCCTTTCCTTGTTTATAATCTTCCATACCTCTCCTTCCGTTCTTGCCTCTATCGCCTCCTTGTACCATCTTAGCCTCTCCTCCTCCTCCCTTTTCCTTTACACATTAGCCTATATTCCGCCCTTACTTTTCTATATCCTTCTCCTCCTCCTCCTTTTTTCCTCCATTCCCTTAACTTTTTCCTCACTTCTTTTCCTCTTCTCCTCACATTCCTCGTCCCACCACCCTTTCCTTTTCCCTTCTCCACTCTCTTTTTCTCCTTCTCTCAATTCCTCTTCTATTCTTCCTATTTTTTCCTCTAGCTCCTCTTCAATC